TGAGAGATCAACCATATAAGCATAACCCATGGACACATTCCATAGGGGCTTGAGGGCATGTCCTAGGAAGGTGGGAACAAGCAGGGAGAGGTCAATGGGGGAAAAAAGATTCATATGTAATACTTTAAACAATAAAGAATTTTAAAAAACGAATTAACAAAAAAATAAAAAATATATATATGATAACAATAATGTAATGGGGTTAGAGTGCACCTATATAGCAGCACCATTTTTGTATGCTATTGAAGCTAAATTATAATTAATTCAAATTACATTGTTATAAATTTAGGATGTTAATTATAATCCCTACAGTACACATTAATTTCTAAAAAATATATACAAAATTAAATGAGAAGGAAATCAAAGTGGTACACAAAAATAATCAACTATACCTGAAAAGGGCAAGATTTGAAGGAGAAAAATGGTTAACAACATAGTGAAAACAAATAAAGGCAGAAATCCTTCCTAATTAGAAATAACTACAAAAGTAAATGAATTAGCCCAGCCAGGCGTGGCTCAGTTGTTGAGCGTCAACCTATGAAGTTCGATTCTCAGTCAGGGCACATGCCTGGGTTGTGGACTGCATCCCCAGTGTGGGGAATGCAGGAGGCAGCTGATCAATGATTCTCTCTCATCACTGATGTTTCTATCTCTCACTCCCTCTCCCTTCCTCTCTGAAATCAATTAAAAAAAATGTTTAAGTACATTAATTAAACTCACCAATCAAAAGCCAGGAATTGGCTGAATGGATTTAAAAACACAATCTAGCCCTAATCGGTCTGGCTCAGTGGATAGATCGTCGGCCTGCGGACTCAAGGGTCCCAGGTTCGATTTTGGTCAAGAGCATGTACCTTGGTTGCAGGCACATCCCCAGTAGGGAGTGTGCAGGAGGCAGCTGATCAATGTTTCTCTCTCATCGATGTTTCTAACTCTCTATCCCTCTCCCTTTCTCTCTGTAAAAAAATCAATAAAATATATTAAAAATAAAAATAAAATAAAAACACAATCTAAGAAACACTGTTTAGACCCAAAGATTTTAAAAAGGGTTGAAAGTAAAAGGATGGAAAAAGATATTCCACACATATAACCACCAAAAGAGACCTGGAGTGGCAAAACTAATAACAGAGAAAATACACTTTAAGAAAAAAAGTTGTTACAAGAGACCGAAAAAAACCTGTAGTATAATAAGCTCAATCCAAAACCACCATACAGAATATCAATAAGGAACCAAGTATTTAAACAATGCTTTAGAGCAACATATATAACACAACATGCAACAAAAGCAGAATACACATTTTTCCAAATGTATGTGAAATATTCTCAAGGAATGACCACATGTTTGGTCACAAGACAACAAATTTTAAAAGACTGAACTCATATCAAGTATCTTTTACCACCAAAATGGAACAAAACTAGAAATCAATAGCAGAAAGAAAATTAGAACATTCACAGATATAAGGAAATTGAACACACTGTTAACCAATTAAATCTCAAAGTAAATTAGAATAGATCCTTAGGCAAATAAAAATGAAAACACAACATACCAAAAACTTATAAGATACAGCAAAATTGGTACTAAGAAGGAAATTTATAGCAATACTAATGCTAAAAATGAATAAAAAACTCAAATCAACCATTTAACATTACATCTTAAGAAACTAAAATGACAAGAAAAAACTACAACCAAAGTTAATAAAAGAAAGAAAATAATAAAGATTAGAGTATAAATTTAAAAATTGAGAAGGGAAAAAATTGATAAAACTAAGTTGGTCTTTTGGAAAACTGAAAAACTCTTAGCCAGAATAGGTAAGAAAAGAAAGAAGACTGAAATAAATAAAATTCAAAATGAATGAAAGGTCTAGACAAGACAATGGACTCAGTGAACTCTGTGCTCTCCTCCTCCCATAACATCAAAATTACAACTAAATTATAAACAAGCAACCTGGAGAACCATCTGAAGCCTAGTTGCACAGAAGTCCTAAATCTAAGGATATAAACAAGAAGCCATGTCAAGCCTGGTAGGAGAGGCAGAGCCACAAAACTGGTTGTCTCAACACCCCTGTGTGATGATTGAAGGGCAGCAATGAAGAATCCAAAGGATATCTCAGCTACAAAGGTCCTCCCTGAGGATCGAGGGGTTCCAGCTGCACACCATGCTACCCAGCCCAGAGCATCAGTGCTGGGAAGAGGAGCCCCAAAAACACCTATCTGTGAAAATGAGTGGGTATTCCATCCATTCAGGTGAGAAAAAACACCGCTGGAAAGCCAGATATCCTCTAAAAACAGCCCTCACACAGACTTGCTCACTCACAGGCACTCACTCTGGACTCTTAGAGGGATATACAGGAATAAACTAGCTCTCAGAGAGGCATATAGGAATAAAGTGACTTGTGTGTTTCAGGGCAATGATTGAAAGGACAGCTACCAGTCTGTATTGAGCCCTCCCCCTGCATGGCCAGTGGGTGGAAACCACGTTGAGCTCTCCCCCAACACAACTAAATCTGAATCTGCATTAGCCTGGTGATCTCTGTTCCCTCTACTCTGATGAATCCCTGAGACCCTGCCCCACCCAAGTTGCATACTGCCAGAAGCTACTTAACACACTGCGGACCAGTAGTTTTATTGCTAGCTTTACCCAGTGGCCAAATAAGTTTCTATTGAACAAGTACAAAAAAACGTTTTACATAAATGTTAAAGGCACACTTTAAAATTAAATAACCATTGCATTTTGAAGTTATTACATGTTCTTACAAGCTAATATCTTTATAAAATATGATACTGTGAAATATGAAGCGAGAATTCTCGTGATCCGCCGCAATGTGTTAAGCAACAGGCAGTCAACCTCAAACCCCACTGCAGTCTTTCTTAAAAATTCTCAAAGGGCCCTAACCGGTTTGGCTCAGTGGATAGAGCATCAGCCTGCAGACTGAAGGGTCCCAGGTTCGATTCCGGTCAAAGGTATGTACCTTGGTTGCGGACACATCACCAGTAGGGGGTGTGCAGGAGGCAGCTGATCGATGTTTCCTTCTCATCGATGTTTCTAACTCTCTATCCCTCTCCCTTCCTCTCTGCAAAAAATCAATAAAATATACTTTTAAATAAATAAATAAATAAATTCTCAAAGGTCAGTAGATGGCAGGTGGGTAGTGGCTAGCCTCAGGGTGCCCTGTGCCTTTTCCCGAGTAGCCCAAGAACCAGCACTGGCACCAAATCTGAATTTGTATAAATCTAGTGAAATTAACTCCCCACACCTTGGTGACTCACCAACACCCTGCCTCATCCAACTCACATACAGACCAAGTCCCTTTCAACAGGTGAGCCTTACTGGCAGCCAGCAGGTGGCAACAGGATTCAGGGTACCCTACGCCTTATCTTATGATGAACTGGCCCAGGCATAGTACTGGAGGCAATGAGACTTGGTTTGCACAGTGGCCCCTCTCACATACTTCTAAGTCCAGCACAGATCACTTTCTGTGAGTGCAGAATCATTCACAGAAAGCCGCTGACATGGGCCTTCACCAAAGCCCCTCCCAAGAGGCTCCAAACCAACACAGCTGATTCTGGCTTCAGAAGACAACAGAACACCACCCAATAAGCTCCACAAGTGGCACAACCAAAGAGTGGTCTCAACAGACACCAGAATCCATGGAGGCAAATCCCAGTGTGGGGTCAGCTCCCGCACAGCAACTCATGTGCTGTGGTCATGGCCAATTCTGACAACCAGTCAGTCAGCCTGAGGATCAATCCAACCTACTGATAAGCCAACAGCAATCCAGGCTCAACTGCAATAGGTGGGTAAACAAAACCCACACAAGGGACATTCCTGGAGCACTAGGCTCAGGTATCAGGAATAAAGCGCCACTGGGCTGCACAGGACACCTACTACATAAGGCCACCCTGCCCAGGCTGGGAGACATAGAACACCTACCTAATGCACAGAAACACAGAAACATAGACAAAATGAGGGAACAAAGAAACATGTCCGAAATGAAAGAACTAGACAAAACTCTAAAGAACTAATGAAATAGGAGCTCCAGTAGCGCAATCGGTTAGCGTGCGGTACTTATAAAGAACTAATGAAATAGAGGCAAGCAGTCTACCTGAAACACAGTTCAAAACCCTGGTTAGCCCTAGCCGGTTTGGCTCAGTGCATAGAGCGTCGGCCTATAGACTGAAGGGTCCTGGGTTTGATTCAGGCCAAGGGCACATGCCCAGGTTGCAGGTTCAATCCCCAGTAGGGGGCATGCAGGAGGCAGCCTATCAATGATATTCTCTCATCATTGATGTTTCTATCTCTCTCTCTCCCTCTCACTTCCTTTCTGAAATCAATAAAAAAATATATATATATATATAAAACACTGGTTATATATGATGCTCAAGGAACTTAGGGAGAACTTCAACAAAGAAATAGTAAGCATAAAAGGGAACATAGTATCCATAAAAAGAACCAGTCTGAAATAAAGAATACAATAAATGAAAGAAAGACTGCTCTAAAAGAAATTAAGGGCAGAGGATCCAATCAGCAGTAAAGGTGCAGAAAACACCCAAACAAAACAGAAAAAAAATTTTTAAAAATAAATATAGTTTAAGGGACCGCTGGTATAATATCAAGAGTAACAACATTTGTATCAGAGGGGTACCAGAAAGAGGAGAGGGAGCAAAAGACTACAAACTATTTGAATAAATAATGACTGGAAACTTCCCTAGGTTGGTGAATGGAAAGGACACCTGAGTCCAGGAAGAAGAGAGATTCCAAAACAAGATGAACCCAAAGAAGACCAAACTAAGACACATCTAATTGAAATGGTGAACGGAGGGTCTGGAGCAGCTGAAACCGGTTTGAGCGCAGCCGGGCGACGCTGCGGGCCACCTTGGGGAGCGCTGGCGAGGCGAGGACGCCCGGAGCCCGGCAGCTCGGCCGGCCCGCGGCACTCACTCTCGGGCGCGGCGGCGGCGGCACGGGCCCGGGAGCACATCCTCAAATAAATCCATCATAATGACACCTTCTCAGATTAACCTTTGAAATAAGAGGAACTCTGTTTCCAGGAGAAGTTTTTGCTATATGTGGAAGCTGTGATGCTGTGGGAAACTGGAATCCTCAAAATGCTGTGGCTCTCCTTCCAGAGAATGAGACAGATGAAAGCATGTTTTGGAAAGCAACCATTGTACTCAGTAGAGGAGAATCAGTTCAGTATCGCTACTTCAAAGGGTGCTTTTTAGAACCAAAGACTATCGGTGGTCCATGTCAAGTCATAGTTTACAAGTGGGAGACTCATCTACAACCACGATCAATAACCCCTTTAGAAAGTGAAATTATTATTGACAATGGACAATTTGGAATCCACAGTGGTGCTGAGAATTTGGATTCGGGATGGCTGACGTGTCAGACTGAAATAAGATTACGTTTGCATTATTCTGAAAAGCCTCCTGTCTCTATAACCAAGAAGAAATTTAAAAAATCTAGATTTAGAGTGAAGCTGACACTAGAGGGTCTGGAGGAAGATGATGATGATAGGGTGTCTCCCACTGTTCTTCACAAAATGTCCAATACCCTGGAGATATCCTTGATAAGCGACACTGAGTTCAAGTGCAAGCATTCACAGCCGGATTGTGGGTATGACTTACAGCCTGATCGTTGGACAGAATATAGCATACAGACAATAGAACCAGATAATTTGGAACTAATATTTGATTTTTTTGAGGAAGATCTCGGTGAACATGTAGTTCAGGGTGATACTCTTCCTAGACATGTGGGTACAGCATGCCTCTTATCATCTACCATTGATGAGAGTGGGAAAAGTGCTGGAGTCCTCACTCTTCCTATCATGAGCAGAAATTCCAGACAAACTATAGGCAAAGTAAGAGTTGACTATATAATTATTAAGCCATTACCGGGATACAGTTGTGACATGAAATCTTCATTTTCCAAGTATTGGAAGCCAAGAACACCATTGGATGTTGGACATCGAGGTGCGGGGAATTCTACAACAACTGCTAAGCTTGCTAAAGTTCAAAAAAATACTATTGCTTCTTTAAGAAATGCTGCTAATCATGGTGCAGCCTTTGTGGAATTTGATGTACATCTTTCAAAAGATTTTGTGCCTGTGGTGTATCATGACCTCACCTGTTGTTTGACTATGAAAAAGAAATTTGAGGCTGATCCGGTTGAATTATTTGAAATTACAGTAAAGGAATTAACATTTGACCAACTCCAGTTGTTAAAGCTTACTCATGTGACTGCACTAAAATCTAAAGATCTAAAAGAATCTGTGGTTGAAGAAGAAAATTCTTTATCTGATAATCAGCCATTTCCTTCTCTTAAGATGGTTTTAGAGTCGTTGCCAGAAGATGTAGGGTATAACATAGAAATAAAGTGGATCTGCCAACAAAGTGATGGAATTTGGGATGGTAACTTATCAACATATTTTGACATGAATCTGTTTTTGGATATCATTTTAAAAACTGTCTTAGAAAATTCTGGAAAGAGAAGAATAGTGTTTTCTTCATTTGATGCAGCTATCTGCACAATGGTTCGGCACAAGCAGAACAAATATCCCATATTATTTTTGACTCAAGGAAAGTCTAATATTTACCCTGAACTCATGGACCTCAGATCTCGGACAACTGCTATTGCAATGAGTTTTGCACAGTTTGAAAATCTACTGGGGATAAATGCACATACTGAACTGCTCAGAAACCCATCCTACATTGAAGAGGCAAAAGCTAAGGGACTAGTCATATTCTGCTGGGGTGATGATACCAACGACCCGGAAAACAGGAAGAAATTGAAGGAATTTGGAGTTAATGGTCTAATTTATGATAGGTATTTGTTTTTCATGAAAAACTTTCATGAACTGTTAGCAAAAAAGTAGCTTTCATTTTATAGCATAAATACTATTAAACTTAGTTAAAATTCAGTAGCTCAGCCTGAGGCTTATCTTAACATTTGTCAGTGGAATTTTTCATACTTTGGAAATCACGTGGTAAGCTTGTTCTGGTGACTGGGCTCTAAGTTACCTTGAGGGTGAGGCTGTCTGCCCCAGACCACTTCAGTCTACACCAGCTTTCTTAATGATCTTACCCAGTTCTGTGGCTTTTCATACCTTTATATATTCCTAAATTTTTATATCTCCAACTCAGATCTTTCCCTTGACCTCTATCTAAACTTTTTTTTATATATAAATATATTTTTATTGATTTGAGAGAGGAAGGGAGAGGGAGAAAGAGATACAAACATTAATGATGAGAATTATTGATCAGCTGCCTCCTGCATGCCCCCCACTGGAGATCTAGCCTGCAACCTGGGCATGTGCCCTGACCGGGAATGGAACTGTGACCTCCTGGTTCATAAGTCAACACTCAGTCACTGAGCCGTGTTGGTTGGCTCTCTTTACTTTTTTTTATCTAGCTATAGATTTAACCGATTTCAGTATAAATGACAACTCTGTCTTTCCAGTTTCTCAGGCCAAATCCTTGAAGTCCTTCATGATTCTGTTCTTTATCTCATATCCCAAATCCAGTCAAACAAAATCATGTTGATTCTATCTTCAAATATATCCTGAGTCTATCAACTCAAAAAAAAAAGAAATGGTGAACGGTAAAGTAAAAGAGATAAACTTAAAAGCAGTAAAAGAAAGGTACTTAGTTTCCTACAAGGAGGTTCCCCTAAGACTATTAGCATATTTCTCAACACAAACTTTTTAGGCCAGAAGGAATTAGAAAATATTCAAGGTAATGAAAAGAAAACACCTACAACCAAGATTACCAAACAAGGCTATCATTTAAAACTGAAAGAGAGAAAGAGCTTACTAGACAAGTAAAAGCTAAAGGAGTTCTTCACCACCAAGAAATGTTAATAGAACTTCGATAAGAAGGGGGAAAAAGAACATAAACATAAATTATAAAATGGAATAACTATGGGCCTATTAATCATCACTTTAAATGTAAATGGTTTAAATGTTCCCATCAAAAAACATAGGATGGCTGAATGGATGAAAAAACAAGAAGAGACCCACTAGAGATTCACAGACACACCGGATGAAACTAAAAAATGAAAAAGATGCTTCATGCAAATAGTACAAAAAAAACTGGGATAGCAATATCTTTATCAGACAAAATAGACTTTAAAACAAAGACTATTATAAAAGACAAAGAAGGACATCTCATAATGATAAAAAGATCAATCCAACAAGAGGCTATAGCTCTTATAAATATTTATGCATCCAATGAGGGAATACATAAAGCAACTATTGATGGACATAAAGGGAGAGATCCACAGTAATACAGTCACAGCAGGGAACTTTAGCTCTCCATTGACATCAATGGATAGGTCTTCCAGACAGAAAAATGAGGAATCAACAGTCTTAAATAATATGTTAAACCAAATAGGCTTGATGTTTTTAGAGCATTTCAACACAAAGCATAGATTATTTTCAACTACACATAAAACATTTCCCAGGATAGGCCACAGGTAAGGATAAAACACAAGTCTCAATAAATTTTGGAAGATTGAAATCACATCAAGTATCTTCTCCAAACACAATAATATGAAACTAGAAATCTATTAAAGGAAGAAAATTGAAAAACACACAAACACATGGAGTATAAATAACATGCTACTAAACAGTGAATTCAAGGAACAAATCAAATGATACCTTGAGACAAATGAAAATAAAATTTGACCTAAAATCTATCTGACACAGAGAAAGCTGTCCTAAAAGGGAAATTCATAGCAATACAGGCAACCTCAAGAAACAAGAAAAATCTCAAATTAAAAAATATCTAACCAATCGCCTAAAGGAACTAGAAAAATAACAAAGCCTACAGGGAATTGAAGAAAGGAAATAAAGAGTGGAACTAAACAAAAGAGTCTAAAAAACAATACATAAGATCAAAGAGAGCAAGAGCTAATTCTTTTGAAAATATAAGCAAAACGGATAAACCTTTAACCAAACTCATCAAGAAAAAAAGAGACAGGATCCAAGTAAATATAATCCTATCTAATAAAGAGGGAATATGCAAATTGACCACCACACCATAACAAGATGGCTGCGTCCACAGAGGAGGCCAAGTTCCCATAACGATCCTTAGCAAGCAATCAGCAGGGACCTGAGGCTGTGTGGCACTGGGCCGGGACAGGGGACCTGAGGCTGCACCCCCCCACCTGGTGGGACTTGACAGGGGACCTGAGGCCGCGCCCCCCACCCTGACGCCAGCCCAGGGGACCTCAAGCCATGCCCTCCGCCACAGCGCCGGGCCAGGGGACCTCAGGCTGCACCCCCACCCGGCAGGGCTTGATGGGGGACCTCAGGCCCCATCTCCCGCCCAGCGGAGCTTAACAGGGGACCTCAGGCTGCGCCCACTGCCCCGGCATCAGAACAGGGGACCTGAGGCCACAACCCCGCCATGTGGGGCTTGATGGGGACATCAGGCCACAACCCCCGCCCATGGGGCTTGACGGGGGACCTCAGGCCATGCCCCTCACCCGCGGGGATTGATGGGGGACCTCAAGGCACACCCCAGGCCCAGGCCCCGGCCCAGGCTGGGGAACCTCAGGCGGCACCCCCGCTCCAGCGCCGGGCTGGGGGATCTGAGGCTGCACCCCCCACCTGGCGGGGTTTGACAGGGGACCTCAGGCCGTGCCCCCTGGCCCAAGGTGCACCCCCCAGCCTGGGCCAGGGAATGTCAGGCCGCGCCCCTCACCCAGCGGGGCTTGATGGGGGTGGGGCCGGCTGGGTCTGGATCTGCACGATTTCAAGGCGCACATGGGTGGGCGGGGCCTTGACTCTGGTTCCCATGGCGTGCCCCAGACTCTGACAGGAGAAAGATTTTCATATACATTTTACTAATTTTCTTTCATCTCTGACACTTCTATATAGAGAAATGGCAAATAGCAATATTAAAATGTTTCCTCTAATTAATTCCCTTTTAACTAGTCAGAAATGAAAGAGGATAAGGGAGAACAAGTCACTATAGGAATAAAAAGGATTGTAAGAAAATACTATGAACAAGTATATGACAACAAAAAGATAATCTGGAATAAATGGATACATTCCTAGAAACATACAATGTTCTAAGACTGCATCAAAAAGAAACAGAAAATCTGAACAGAATGATTACTACCAACAAAATCGAATCAAAAAACTCCCAACAGTCCTAGCTGGTTTGGTTCAGTGGATAGAGTGTCGGCCTGCGGACTGAAGGGTCCTGGGTTAGATTCCAGTCAAGGGCACATGCCCCATTTGCAGGATCAATCCCCAGTGGGGGGCATGCAGGAGGCAGCCACACAATGATTCTCTCATCATTGATGTTTCTTTCCCTCTCTCCCCCTCTCCCTTCCTCTGAAATCAATAAAAATACACTAGAAAAAGAAACTCTTATACTAGATCGCTTCACATGTGAATTTTATCAAACATTCAAAGAACTAACACCTATATTTCTCAAACTATTTCAGAAACTTCAAAAAAAAGGAAAGGCTACCACATTGATTTTATGAGTCCAGCATTATCCTAATTCCAAAACCAGGCAAAGATATTACAAACATATACAATATTAAGCCAATATTCCTGATAAACTAATTGCAAAAATCCTCAAGAAAATATTAGCAAATCAAATTCAGCAATACATTAAAAAGATGATCAACTGGGGTTTATTCCTGGAATACAAGGTTGGTACAATATTTGCAAATCAATTCAGGTCATGCACCACATGAACAAAATAAAGGATAAAAGTCATATGATCATATCAATAGATGCAGGGAAAGCATTTGAAAAAAATCCAACATACTTTTATGATAAAATCTATCAGCAATGTGGGAATAGAAAGAAGGTACCTGAAAATAATAAAGGCCATATATGACAAACCCACAGCTAACATCATACTCAACAGGAAGAAACTAAAAGCATTTTCCTTAAGGTGCAAAAAAAGACAAAGATCTCCATTTTCACCACTTTATTCAACATAGTATTGGAAGTCCTAGCCACAGCAACCAGACGATAAAATCAAATAAATGGAATCCCAATTGGAAAGAAAGAAATGAAATTGTCACTATTTGCAGATGACATGGTACTGTATGTAAAGAGACCTAGCCCTAGCCGGTTTGGCTCAGTGGATGGAGCATTGGCCTGTGGACTAAAGGGTCCCAGGTTCGATTCCAGTCAAGGGCATATACCTTGGTTGCAAACACATCCCCAGTAGGGGGGGTGCAGCGGGCAGCTGATCGATGTTTCTTTCTCATCGATGTTTCTAACTCTCTATTCCTCTCCCTTCCTCGCTGTAAAAAATCAATAAAATATATTTTTTAAAAAAAGAGAGACCTAAAGATTTGACCAAAAAAACTCTTAGGATTGATAAATGAGTTCAGTAAGGTAGCAGGATAAAAAGTTAATATTCAGAAATTAGTTGCATTTTATACACCAGTAATGAACAATCAGAAAGAAATTAAGAAAATAATGACATTGGAGAGACAAAATGGCGATCAAATAGATGGATGTGTACAAAGCCTTGTCCCGGAGCAAACAGAACAAGTAACTAAATTGAATAACATCCACCCTGAACTGGTGAAGTAGACACAGCTGGTGAGAAAATTCACAGCCAGGAGGACACCTGGAGAATGGTAGAATCAGGGATCTGGGCTGGAGAGAACTGGGAGACCTCTGAGCCCAGAGGACCAGAGGAAAACCGCAGGGCACCGAGGCCGCATCCCTTGGGACAGGCAAAGCGTCTGACTGTGGAAAGGAGGTCCACAGGAATGCTGGTGGTAGGGAATTCTGGATCTGGGTCCACAGTCACAAGACACTGAGTCCAGAGGGAGCATTTTGGACGGCTGCCCAGGCCACAACGTGCCAGGGAGAGAGCGGCTCACAGTGGTGCAGCTCTTTCCCCTTTTTGGTCTTTGCTTTTGTTCACTGAACCTAGTTCA